AGGAGTGATACTTCAGCAGCTATGAAGGCACTTTCCGAAATTCTCTATTCAGCAAAAGCATGTGATCTGAGTGGAGAGTATTTCAGGGAGTGACTGATTCAACACCGAACCCCTTATTGGTTTGCTGCATATCTTCATCAAGGCTGGTTTGCATCAGACATCTGGAATCAGCCTGCTGTTCCAGCCATCATGCAGAGTCTGCACTGCATTGTGGGTGGAAGCCCGTCCCCTTAAATCTGTTTGTTATGTGCAGTTAATCATGCAAACACATATCTCATTGCTATTCAATGATGGGCCGTGAATGGATATTTAGCAGCAATAAAGAAAGAGGAGTATCTCACTTCCAGTTTGAATGTATAGCCAGGGTTATTGCTGTCCGAAGACGGACATTGCTGGGCCACCAACTGAAGCTGGTAGGAATTGTTCCATGCCATTCAAGCCATCTGAGCCAGAAATGGCCAAGATGGCTCCCAAAGAACCCCCACGCCTCAAGCTCCCTCTGAAATAACAATGTTCTCACTGAGAACATCCACACTGCTGCCTTTCATAGTAACAAAAAAATGTATATGCTGAAGCACTAATGGTTGCACTAGTTTCTTAATGAGGTATATATCTCCCTGTAGTTTTGGGCTGAAGTATTATTATTCTACTGCATTAATGTTACCTTTCCTAAAGGCATCATTTGTTATACTAAGTCATACTGGTTTCCAAAGCTTTTGAATAAAAAAGGCAATAGACTAAAATTTTTAATTAACTTTCTTCTGCTAGATTGAGCATTTATGCAAAGCTTTGGAATTTGTCCCCATGGGGCCAGCTGATATATTACGCTTGCTGTGCTGAAACGGCTTTGAATTGGCACTGGTTAGCCTGTGATAATCATTTATATTTTGGTGGAGCAGCTTATGTTTGCCACACCACTGAAAATGTACAAATAAAATAACATAAAATAAAGGAGGTTTGCACTGGGAGAAGATAATTGCCCCAGTCATGAACCAGATAACAACATCCCATTCTAAGAATTGCAGCATGGAACAACTTTAAGCAGGGTGGCCACTTGCAAATTGCCAAAACAGAGGACCTGATCGGCATTCACCACCTCTTGGAAGCTCTTGTTTTATTTGTCTGCAGCACTGGAAGGTTTATAGAGGAACTTCCCTCCCCACAAAAAGCTTGCTCTTGCACAGTCCACCACCAAGAAGGTTGAGGTTTCACACCCAAGATCGCACTCCCAAGATGCTCCTGCCGCCATTACCTGCTCATTGGTTCTCTTTGTATGGGCTCCACCAGCCCAGAAGCAGAGCACAATGTCTGGCAAGTGGCGGCTGCTCCTCCCTCTTCTGGCCCTTGCTGCTGCTCACAGGCTTGGACAACAAGGAGTGCCCTGTAGTCAACTGTGGGCCCCCCTGCTGTGTTCAGGGCCCTGGCAGGTGCCCAGCGATGCCAACCTGCAGTGACTATAGCCAGCTGAGCCTCTTGGATACTTTCAAAAGTGCAACCTAAATGATCATGTTCACTCCACGTTTTGCAGGTCTGTAGACAGTCCAATAGACAGACAGAACATTGCATTTGGTGTAGGGATCCTCAGGTATGAATTCCACTGGGTGGCTTTGAATCATACTGGGAACTGGAGACCATTGTTTTCTGTCTAAACCTGCACAGGACTGAACCTTTTCTCTCTCTCTCGTGCAGATAAACCGTAAAGTTGTTACATGGATAAAATAGTATATAACCCCATGTAGGAGAGCTTGAGCTGCTTGAAGCAACACTCCATTCTTCCCCCTACTTTTTGTTCTTAACATTCAGACTGAAGAAGAATTCTGAGCATCTTTCTCAAATCTTTTTATTTATTTTCAGAAAGTACAGTAAAAAGAAAGTATATAGGAAAGAAGTTGCCAAGGTCATTCCAGAAATATGGCTTGCAACATCCTCATTCAAAGAGATTTATAATAAACAAAAGTCTCTTTCAACCACTTCCCCATCCAAACCATTCAATTCCCATTTAGAAATTTATCCAATCTATAACATTAGTTATAAATTATAACATTGATTTAGTTTATAATGGTAATCACAGCCATTTGTAAAAATTATATTTTTTTTAACCGTTACTTAAATTGTTCACAATAAGTCTTCCATCTTTGAGTAAATTCTTTAACTGATCTTCTAAGTGTTCTGAGGATCTTGAAAGCCTGATAACTAATTGTGACATTTCAGTTGGTCTTTCTCTTACTAAAGGGATTGTTCTGCTAGATTTTCTCCCTAATGGACCAACAAGGATGCATGCAATTTTAATATGGTTGCAATAATATATTCTAGACAAAAAGACGCTCTTGGCATTGCTTATGAAAATAGCTTCAGTTCCTCTGGGACTTTCTCAACTTTCTGGTCTCAGTGTAATTTCTTCCCCCTCTCTCCTCAGATCCTGCATCTCTTTCCACAGTAATCAAACCACAACTAAACACCCTCCAGTATTGCCATGGCGGCTTCTGCAGAACTGTCTGAATCCCTCGTTGTTGCTCTTTCCAAGGCCTCATTAGCGGGCTTGCTGACATTGGAGTGGCAGCTGTCACATTTCAGCCCAGGCAACTGCCTTGTGAGCAACAGGAACAGAACAAAATATTAGAAAAGTGGCATCAAGACTATTTTTCTCCCTTTCCTCTCCGGAATTTCCAGTGTCACAATGTGGCATACCTTTTGCAATTGAAATCAAGAAAGTAATGAGGTGCACTTTGATTCTAAACCTCAGTGTTAACATTAATATCACTAGCAAAGAAAAAATGCCTTTGAAAGTCAAAATCCAGTCAAAAGTTAAACTGCTCTTCAAAACGTCTCTCTCAAAAACATTGCAAGATATGGCAAAGGGCTGCCATGGCCACATGAACTCATTAACAAGCAGGTCCCTGCTAGCAAGTTGAACAACTTTTGGCAAGCTTCCAAACCTTGAAGCAGCCCAATTTCACCAGAGTCTCTCAACACTTACTTCAAAGGCTGTAATTAATATTTACATGACTAGAGGCCTCCCTACACGATCACCATTTTTCCAAGTACAAGTTCTTTCTTTCTAATGCAATCTTTGCCAATTTCTCCTCCAACCCCAATGTGCTGGACTAAAGTTTCTGTTAGCTCCAGGCAGCAAGACTGGGGATGATACTTGTAGTCTAGAACACCTGGAGAGAAGAAAGAATGTGGTAGGAAGCGCCCTATGCACACAAACTTGCTAGTTACCTCCAGTGAACTCAGTGTGGCTTATTCAGGATGTTAGTAGTTCTCTTGGGTGCCTCAGATATGGTTTATATGCCTCCTAGCTATGCAGGAGCTGATTTAAATGTGAAACAATAGATTTTAATTATAGTTTATTATAGATATACATCATCATCAAACCTAAAATCTTCTAATAGAATTCAAATTACTATTTGAAAATATATAATTGATCAAGAAAAAATCCCCTTAATTTCAAATAAAAATTTAAAAGGAAAATATGATAATGTAAACATTTTAAAATGGGGACCTACATTTCATGTTTTTTGTGAGCTACAAATTCAGTTTAGTTTGTGTTTGTTCTCTTGGCCCAAACTTAAATGCTGGTGTGAAAAGGGATTTTTAATGTGCATTAACAATCTGATAGCCTCTTGACTTGCCTGAGGACCAATTCACATGAATGTTCTATTAACTCTTATAGCAGCAATACATTTATCACTGTCCCACTAGTATCTTTACTACAGCCCAATCGTAAGCATGCTTACTCAGAAACAGATTCTGCTGAGTTCAATAGGATTGACTCCATAGTGAGTTTGTAGAGGACTGGGGCCCTATTAACATACCACCTGATATCTCCTGGGTGGGACCAGTCCTTGGCACTTCAATAAGTTCTGGGGATGAACTCTGATGAATTTTTATTTCAACTAAACCTGCTCAGGGTGGAAGGATTATATACAGTATATCTGCACAGATGATTTACTCCTCAGTATTTTATTCATTCTCTCTGTACTGCCCTTCTACCAAGGAGCTCAGGACAATGTGAACCATCCAGAGAACAGTAAGGGCAGTATAGAAATGTAATAGATTAATGTACATGACTCTTTCCTTCGCTCTTTTATTCTCACAACAATCATGTGAGGTAGGTTAGGTTGAGAGGCAATGCTAGGTCTAAGGTCCCTAAGTAAGTGTTTCTTGGCTGACTGAAAATTTGACTCTGCTCTTCCTCAGCACTCTTAGAAACACACCACCTTTTAATAAGATTCATTAACTGTCTTCTTGTACCTGCAATCAAGGTGACTAAAATGGAGGAAAGGATTTTCTCACGTACACGAAATCTTTCCTTTTTGCACACCACACTAATTCATCAGAATTTGTACACCTGACTCCATTTTTCCCATTCTTAATGTGTATCAAAATCTTCACGCCTCCTAAACGCACGTGTTAAAAGGCGGAAGATTGTACCTCGCATGACCCAAATTGCAGTCGCTAACGGCGAAAAGGCGTCAGGAGGCAACTAATCCGTTGCAGGTGACCTTAAAGATGGGCTTCTCATCTTTCTGCGTATGCCGATGCAGGTTCTAATCCGGGTTAGTTACTGTCAGCCAGGTGGTGACAACTGCTTGGTTTAATTAATCCGAAGTAAAAGCAGCGCGATGCTAACGCTACAGAGAAAACTCTTGGCAGCCTGCGTCCCGTCAGTGGGTCTGCGCGCTGGTGGCCCCCACGCGGTTCTCTTCTCCCTGCCTTCTCTTTGATCGCGCGACCAGCTTCTCTTTGATGTGCATCCTGCCTCCTCTTCCCATTGTTTCCTTCTCCCGCGCCCTCCCCTCGGCTTGCCGCCTCTCCCCTCCTCCCTTTGCTGACGTCATTCGTTGGCTGCTCGGGCTGAAGGCGGCGGCGGCCACAAGAGCCGTGAGTAGAAGCCGGTCGCTCGCCCGCCCGCTCACCCACCCACGATCATGGCTGCTGCGCCGGGGAGGAAAAGCCTCTCGCCGGCGGCGTCCAGCTAATCCCCGAAGGGCACGATGGAGCCCGGCGGTGTCGGGGAGCCACCGAATTTGATGCAGTTCCTGCGGAAGCTGAAGGAGGTCTTCGACGTGTGTGATGAGGATGCCGACGGATTCATCCGGGTGGAGCACTTCGTCGCCCTGGGGCTGCAGTTTGGCCAGGGGGATGAGGTAAGGCGGGGGGCACGATCAGCAGCTGGAGGGAAGAGAGGGCAGGGGCGCCTCGCCTCTCCCGCGGCACCTCTGGTCTGGCTGGTGAGGGAGCCCAGCTATTCACGTACTGCCCTTTTAATCATATAGGGCATCTCAGTCTACAGAGACCTTTTTCTAAAGCGTCCCAAGCTTGGTATTCTGCAAGAAGGGTGCAGATCCCACCGTAAACTGTCAGACAGCATAGACTATGGGTGTGTATTTGTTTTAGAAATCTCATACAATACCAAGGATTAGCCCTGGATAAATATGTGGAATAATTACATAAATGTGAGCATGTGCAGAGTGCTTATCCTTTGCTGTGGTGGTTAGCACAGATTTGGGGTGGAGAAAGGAACGTGAAACCTTGGTGGCCCACAGTTTAGAAAGTAGAGATACCCTTGTTGGGATTGTTATATTTTTGGAGTTGGGTGGGCATGCCTGTAGCCATACACAACTACCACAAGGTAGACAGTATACATTCAAGATATCCAGATTCTAGATATCCAGATATAGATACTGCTATCCTAGAGAACCAAAGAAAATAACTCCAGAAAACAAATAGTAGCAAGTTTACTGTCAGCTCCACAGTACTGAATCTCCTGGAAGTAGAAAGTGTCTGTAATAAAAGGCATCTCCCAGTGCCAAAGAGCAGAAGGCCTTTGCCCAGGAGTCTGGAGTAGATTGGTGGGTGTCTCGGGAGCCCAACATTGGCCATCTCTGATTGCATAGTCAAAGGCTTCTAAATGACCTAGCAGATAAACGTATGGCCCTGAATCCTGCATGTGACAGCTACTCATGGCCAGGGAGTTGGTGTGCACAGCAGGGCACATTAAAGGACATAATTCTATGCACATTTGGAAAGAATGAAAGTCCTGCAGAGCCCAGCATCTCTCTCCCAGATTGGCTGGCTAGAGGGTTGCTTGGAGTTGTAGAACATTTTTCTGTCTAAACATGCTGCTTCCTCAAGCAGTCATCACAAGCTGAATGCTAGTTGTGGGAATAAGGCCTCTGACATCTAATTGGCTATATCATACGTTTTCTTATTCATCAAGTGCTCTTCGCTCCAGATATTGTCCCTGGGCAAACATTGCATTTTTCTTTTTCCACCAGCCCTACATTTGTAGTAAAGCACTGGACCACATATTTATAGCTCTCAACCACCATCCCCTGGACACTAGGAGAACTTACAGCTACGCATTTTCTTGCCTGTCTCACCAGTACTTTATTGCTTTCATTGGGTGGTTTTTCCCAATAATGTCAATATCTGCAGGGGTAACGCATTCATTCAAATGATTTGTATTATTACAAAACGCTTTCGCTAAAACAGCCTTACTGGCATTAGAGAGTGACATGCACTAAGGGGAGCTTGAGCTATTTCCATATAGGTTTAGCTGAAGACTGCATTTAATGGGAAGAGCTTCGATGTACTTGACGGGAATGTTTTCTCTGGAAGCAGTAGCATCCTTAAGGGATGTAGTTCCATGACAGCATGACAAGAACATATTGTAGAGCAAAGCCTTGAGCCATGAGACCACAAAATCATTATGCCGAATTAGTTAGCTCAAGTCAATGGAGTCATTCTAGAGCTAGTGGCTTGAAGAGTAAAACATTAAATTGCAATCTCTGGGTAATAAACTGAGCTGTGAGAATCTGGAATCACTGGTTTGACTATTATAATTTATTTTGGAGTTAAATGGAATAAACTGAATGGGATTTTGGATGTTGAATTGATGCACCAGAACTGGTCTGAGCAGTCATGATGTCTGCTGCTGTTTTGTTTGTTTGGTTGACTGGCTGGTTTACAATCCATGATCTTGCTTTTTTGAACTTAAAAGTGTTGATTCCCTTGGCTAAGAAAGAACAGCTTCAAATATAGATTAAGAATGTTACTGAAGAATGTTCAAGATTCACAGTTTGATCTTCCTCTTCTGATCCAAAGCTGCTCAGACTATTACTTGTCAAGCACTGCTTGCGTCAGTCTTGTGGAAGGAAATCCTTGTTGTTGAAGCACAAGTCAATAACTGCTCTTCAAGTGTATGAAAAGAGGTGGATGTGAATTCGCACCTAATAGATTGAACAATCATTAAGACTGTCCTTTGGGGGTGGGGGGGGAAGGTCAGCAAAGGAGGTGTTTTCATAACACATTTTGTAAATGCATGACTTTTTGACCTTGTTTGCAAAAAATGTCAATTCTTTCCCATCTCACCTGGTCAGACTAGAATTTTGGAGTAGAAATATGCTCAAAGAGCCATTCTCAGGCATTAGTTGCCTTTCCCTTAAAGAAAAAAATCCACATGGGAATGAACAATTGACCTGTTTCTTATATCAATAATTTGTCCCCAGCTGTATTCCTCTGTGGAGGGGAAAAGTCCACTTCTGAGCTCACACAAGGCTAAGATGATCAGATACAGAAACAGATGGGACTTCTGATGATGACAGATTTTGTGTAGATTCAACCTTTATGTACATGTTTCTGTTTGATCTAAAGGAACTCCACACAGAGGCTTACTTCAAGCAAAAGGTAAAATATATGTGAAGACACTTCTTGAAACTATCATACTGCCTATACATTTATAAATAAAAGCCATGTCCATTTTTTGTTCTTTATAACTCTAGGTCATCACAGCATAGCAGAGAGAGACTCCCTCATATTACAAAAGTGAAAATGAGCAAATTATTCATGGATCAAAGGAAACAGCTAAGAATTCAGAGCTGACAAACTTGTTAATGATAAAATTCCATAATGCTGATTTCCAGCTCTTAATATCTGTAAAATCAGTGACAGGGTGCAGAACCTAAGCATTTGTGACCTCAGAAGATGAATTGTGATCTCGTGAGCTGGGTGAGTTTTCTTTGATGTGGCGTTCCACACAGTGCCATTGATAAGAAAACCTCTCTCATGTCTGCCCACGGTACCGCCAACAAAAGAGGCATTAGAGAGCCGGTGTGGTGGTGGGAGTGTTGGACTGGGGACCTGAGAGATCTGGGTTGGAGTTCCCACTCAGCCATGAACTTCACTGGGTGACTTTGGTCCAGTCCTCACTCTCAGCTGAAGCTACCTTACAGGGTTGTTGTGAGGAAGATGTGGGGCTATGTAAGCTGTTCTGGGTTCCTCATGAGCAGGAAAAAGCTAGATTATAACTGCAGTGTAGTAGCAATAATAATTTGGAGTGGGATTTCTTGGGATAAAGTGAGTTCACATGAGTGTAAGCAGTCCTGCAGGAAATGCTGCACTACTGCTAACGGCCTATATAACACAGACTGTATAAACACTCTAAATCATGACTGTAAAATCACGAATATGCAATATACAATAAAGCCAGCCTCACACTAATTAAAGCGAATAGAGCATTGTCTATGTTCTAAGGGCTTGGACAAACAAAAACCTCTTTAGTTTGCTACCTAACAGTGATAGCAGTCTGAGAGGCTGCCGGAAAGGAGTTCCACGGTCAGTGTGCCATGGCCAAAATGGGCATGCTGAGCACGATAGCCCCACAGGCCACCTTGCTCAAGAATAGTGCAAGCAAAGCCTTCCTGGTTGATCTTAAATGCTGGGATAGTCAGTAATGGGTGATGTGGTCCTCCAAGCCCCTGAACTATTAAGGGCTTTATACTTAGGGCCAGCTGTGGAATGAAGCACTGGGCATTGAAGGGAAGATGTTATAGGCAGTGCTTTTTTTGTAAGAAAAACGGTGCCGGAACTCATGAAATTATTTACCTTTCGCACGTAGTCAATCACTGTACACACACCCACACACGTCAGTTGTGTAATGAAACATAATGGTCACTGCCCGCAGTAAGCACTCAGCGCGTGACCACATGACCAATCACAAGCCGAGCAGCGCCATCACAACCAGCGCGGACGAAGTACGCATGCATCGGACTCAACATACAAGCAGCCCGCATGCACCATTTTAATAATTTTGCCACCGAGCTGCTACGCTCGACAGGGCAATTCAAATCCACGTGGACCAAACATCAAATTTTCAAAGGTTACTTTTAAAACTTGGAAAATCTGTTGAAAAAAAGGTGCCGGAACTCCGTTCCGGTGTGTTCTATGACAAAAAAAGCACTGGTTATAGGAATGGGACAATGCTTCTTTCAGGAGTTAAATAGAAGTCCACCAAGTGTGGTCCTGCCCTATCACTTCTGCAGTGTGATATGGAAAAAAGTCCTCTTGGGGAATGTTGGTTTGTAGCTCTTAAAATAGAAGAACAACCCCAGTGCAGACCATGGAATCATTGTGAGTTCCTAAAGGGTCCCTATGTATATTTTAAACTCTGAAAAGGAGGACGCCAAGTCTAGCCTAAAAGGATTAAAAGTTGAGTTCTTTATGAAATTTGAGGTGCACCAAAATTAACCTGCAGTTTATCAAAGGATGCCAACAGGCATGGATCCATGTAACTAATGAAATTGATTTTTTTTCTTTTAAAGTAATGTGATGTACCTTAGGAAGCAAATGGAATTTAAGTTCTAGAATTGGTTTCAGTTAGGAGTGGAAGTGTTTGTCTAGAGTGGAAAGTATTTAAAAGCCTATTTTCGATAAGCACATGAAGAGAAAGGTAATAAAAACTATTTTAAAGAGCTGTTATGGTCTGTCTGTTGCCAGATGCAAAAGAGCAAAGAGACTCCTATATCTTGAATAGCTGGAAATGACAGGTGTGGTTTGTTTCATAATGCACAGATCAAAATGCTGTACCTGCACAAATTCCATCTTCTCTGCTATTCTATTGTGATTTACTAGATTGGTTTCAGTTTTGACAGTTATACTGTGCTCTTCTATGAGATATTAATGGTGACCTATAGTTAAAAATAGAACATTGCCGTAATTAAAAACTGAATAGCAATAAAAGCAGCAACCGTATTGAAAAGACTGAAAAAAGCAAGAGGGACACCAAAAAAATCAAACACAAGGATAACGATCTAGAAAAGTCTTTGCTCCTGATCTCAAAGCAAGCAGTAAAGCGGTTAGGATGACC